TATTATCACTCTTTCACACAAAAACAAAACACCCTTTTCACCCGAAACCAAGATCTTCTTACATAGAAAGCTTTAACCCCTAAAGGTGTACTCTTTTTCTGATAATTCCCACAGAGTGGGGCAACTCAGAGAATTCTGATGAGACTACTAAAATCACAACGTTAAAGAAGTTTGGTACAATGAGTTTCAAAAGGATTCAGGCATTAGGATAAGGTTTCCCATATGCTCAGGCATATTTTTGCTCAAGTGGGGGTGGTGTTTAAAACAGATGTGGAACTATTTTAAATAAAGTTGCTGCTGGAGATTGACACTAATGTCTAATAATGGAGTCTTTTTGTGTTCTGATAATCAGTCAAAACTTAGATTTCATGGTACACATGCTAAAGCAGCATTTACTCCTACCTCCAAACTCTAAGCTCCTATATGTCTGTTACTACTGTGAGGGTGTTGATGGAAGTTAAGTGATGCTAAATATATAGCTTCCCACTAATCTCTCAATTTAGCAAGTGCTAATCAGAAATGAGGTTACTACTCTTTAAGGGGAAAATATTTTCTTCTCTCCTCTTCTCCCACTCTATCACCAAAGGTACCGAAAAGCCCATAAACAGAGTCTCCTACTTGGAGACTCTGTTCCTGAAGATTCACTACATTACCACCTGTTCCAAATGTGACACTTTTCTTCCCCCATTGTTCTTTTAAATGACTAACATAAAAAAAAAAAGCATTTCAAATGAACTACCTTCTTCTCTGCTTCATACTCAGCCCAAGCTGCTTTTCTTTCTTCTTCAGTCAACTCTTCTTCTTCTTTGTGGTCCAAAAGAGAATCATGTTCATGATATCCTACAATGTGTTCTTTATGTATTTGAAGAAGTTCTGCAAGTATGGTGTCCTGTTTAGAGGGGTTGAAATAATGATTATTTTCTCCCTCTGGATCATATCTCCATAGTTCTTTGGTCTACTGTTAGACTAGAAGCTAGAAACTGGCTGCTATACATATTTCTGATATACATGATAAATTACCTAGAAAACATTCACAATACATGCAACACCAGCCTCTTATGTAAGAATGTTATGTTTATATAGCATGTTTTAGGGGCTCAATTTTTTAATGACTACTTTTCATCTTTCAAGGTTTTTTCCTCCAACTTTTTTCTAATTTTTTCATATGCATTTTGTTTTGTGCTTTGTTCTGAGTTGATAAAAAAATGCTAACAGAAGTCTGCTTAACTCAGAGATTACACTGAATGAATGACTGTGCTAAAATCATGGCTACTCCTGTTCATACATGTTTAACAACTTTATTTTCATAATCACTTCAGCTACCAAGCACTATACTAACAAAAACCAAATCTAAATTAATCAAAACAGCTAAAGAACAGTTTAACTGGAACATACAATCCTTATATTTCAATTGTAAGGTCAAATATAAATTACACTGTAAAGACCCATGGTTCAAATTTAAACTGATATACACTGTTTATCAATTTATTATCATAGTGTCTTTTTTTAAAGTCACAATGTCTTAAGCCAGTCTTTTAAGGGTAAAAAAACTAAAAACTTAAAAATTGGGATCATTTATATACTCAGCAAGAACACCAAACTCCTGCTCTGTGTGATTATGATTATGAGAGACACACACAAATGGAGATGTGGGGGGCAGGGTGTTAAAGTGAACCATGGGTATGTTACTTGCTAATAAAAAATTAAAATATTCACAAGTTGTTTGTTAAGAAATAAAAGAAGAAAACCTGGATATATAAAAGGCAAATTAATTCACTTTACAAAAGGATTTTCCATAGCTTCTAACAGCAAGTTTCCTTAGAACACACTTTCTAAATTGAGTGTGAACTTAGTGAAAGAACGTAAATAATATTTGACTGGCCAAAGGAAGGTACAGCGAGGTATATAGCACATTAAATTTAAACTTAATCTGCATCTAATAATGCTTAATGCCTTCATAAGTTTAGCATAGACAAAGCCCACACTTGAAAAGAATTTTGTCTTTACATCTTCAACCATAGCTAGAGTATAGCGTCCAACACAGGGTAGGGGCTCAAATGTTTGTTAAATAACTCAAGATGAAAAATTCAGCTCAAGAGGCCCTAAGTTTTTTTCTGTACAAGAGCAAATGCTGGCACTAATTCCAAACATTCTGATATTTGGTATCATGTTAACAAACTTTTTATCTTGCTACCTCAATAAATAATCACTTCATAATTTCACGAAAGAAAAGGAACTGATTTTCTTAATGGATACAGCTGTAATTGAGATTTTATAATTCATTTTGAAGGCATGTGCTATTTCTTTCGTTGAAAACATTAAAAGAGCATACAAGCAAGAGGGCTCAAGAAAGTCTACTGGTGGAACACATATATGTTAATAAGTTTATTCTTTTAAAATGTTAAGTAAACATTTCTCTCCTGCACCAGTGTAGGAGTCTGCCATCAAAGCTGACTTCTCTGGCCTATGACATATAGAACAGATTTATCATCACTAGATAGATCTCCAAAGTTCAGAGTTACTGACCAGGCAGGCAGGGAGATAGGGCAGTCTGAATTAAATTCTGTTAAAAGATAATGCTTTCTTAGATGTGTGTCTCCCATGCTTACCCCCCAAACATGACTCAGGAGAGAGGTATGTAATAAAACCAGATAACATTGACTAATGTTTTTAGCAAGTGACCATGCCAAGTACAATTAGGAAAGTCAGCTGTTCTACAAAATACCAAATAAATTACAAGGTAGAAATGTTCTATAGATAGTCCCTAATTTTACTTCTGTCTGACAATAGGTGATGTTCTTAACCATAGTCAAAAATCACTTCATTTCTCTAAGACAGCAACCTAAGGGAAAGGCCAGGAGAACTATGTGCTAGGAACTGAATTTATTTTCCAGCTGTGTGGTTTCTCTGTAATGCTGGATAATAACTTAATCTAGTTATGACTATAAGTTAAACACGGATGAAATATTCTACCATCACATATGTAACAGGATGAGATAAGAATAGCAGAAATAAATGAAATACCCAATGATTTGGAAATAAACACTATGTCAATCAAGTGTAACGTTTATTTCTCAATTATAAATACGACGATCCATACATTAACTACTTTTTATGGTTAGAGAAAAAGCCTTTCCAGAAATGCATGTACGCAATGTGCACACATGCACACACATACACACCGATATACACCCTTTTAAAAAGTGTCTGTGATTTCAGGGAGCTTTATCAAGTTAGTCCTTAGCATCCTGTAATTTCAAAGTCCAAACTTATCATCTTGAAATTGGTAGAAACTGATGTCCAGAGAGGCAAAGTAACCTTTTTCCAATCACAGAGCTAAGGACTAGCTGGGACTAGAAGATAAATTTCCTGACTCCTATCCAGTGATCATTCTATCACACTGTAAAGAATGACTGTTTTCTTGAGGTATAGTGCCCTCTATTTCCCAGATCTATTCTCTTAAAAAAAGAAAATTCCCTAAAGGATTCCAGGGGAAGGAAAAACTTAAGTAGGTCTATTTTTTCTCTTTTAAACACCTTTGTTCTTTCTGAAGTTTTTAAAAACAAGTATGTGTTAATGTTTTAATAAAAGAAAATATAAAAACTGAAACAAACACAATTCTTAGACAAAAACTTGTGAAAGGCCAGTTCATGCTTAGCCTGAACCTGACATGAACTATTTTTACCATTTTCATCTTCAGGAGATATTCATTTCAGGAAATCCCATTCTAAAACCTTTAAATATCTTCTCCCCAACAATTCCAGATTTAAGATCTATGCTATCAAGTCAAACATGATTGCCTAATTTTAAGGTCAGATTATGATAGAGGTTCAGCTTCTGCCCATGCAATAACTTTCATTTTGACCCACAGTCAACTAAAATGTCAACAAGTCAGAGGAAAAGTGCATGTGACTTAGCTTTTTATCATTAAAAAAATTTGGACCCTTTTCCTAAAACATTACCTCCCTGCTAACATCAAGCCAAAAAATCAATCATATTGCTACTACTGGCTACAGCACTCCCTTCTTTTCAAAGAATTTTTAAAAATTTTAATGGAAACGATGTTAATATCTATTATAAAAACTAGAGATAACTACTGGTAACATTTGTTGTATATCCCTCCACACATTTACACTTAACACACGTGGGTGCACATATTTTCACATAAAAATGGGATTGTACTATATTTAAAACCTACCTTTCTGCCTTAATATCTTTCCATGAACATTATTTTACATTAAATACAAACTTTCATTGTTTTTAATGGCTGCAAGGTGTGTACATTATATAGATACACTTTATCATCTATTTAATTATTCTCTTCAGAGTTTATCAAGACATTTATGCCACTTCTAGTTTTTAATTATTACCAAATCTGCAATGAAATAGGTTAATGGATAAATTTTAGGGACTTCCCTGGTGGCACAGTGCTTAAGAATCTGCCTGCCAATGTAGGGGACACAGGTTCAAGCCCTGGTCCGGGAAGATCCCACATGCCACGGAGCAACTAAGCCCGTGCACCACAACTACTGAGCCTGTGCTCTAGAGCCCATGAGCCACAACTACTGAAGCCCACGCACCTAGAGCCCGTGCTCCGCGACAAGAGAAGCCACCACAAAAAGAAGCCCATGCACTGCAACGAAGAGTAGCCTCCACTCACCGCAACTAGAGAAAAGCCTGCCGCAGCAGCAAAGACCCAATGCAGCCAAAAATAAATTAATTTTAAAATTTTTAATGTATTATTATATGAACCACTTGTTCATACAATAATATGCCGACAATACTCAAGGACTCAGATGAGTATGTTTACCACTATCTTCATTTTAACAAAGAAAAGACATTACATAAAAGTTAACTGACTTTTATAGGAACAAGATTCATTTATACATTTCAGAAGCATGAAAGCAGAAATCTTTCTTTCTTCCAGAGTGCTGTGTAAGACAAAAATAACAGAAAGAAGATACAGGATTTCTGATACAAACTGTTTCTGCATCTTTCCCATTTAAATTAATTGCAGCATACTGTCAATACAAGAAACTTGATGAGATTAAGAGGGCAAAAAAGTATTTGTAACAAGATCTTCAGAATATTTCTTTGGGAAAAAGTTTTTCAAAGTCTAGAGCAAGTTATAAAAGTTAATAAAGAAAAATTTCATCCCAATATACAGTATAATCATGGAGAGGTTTTTTGTTTTTTCCCCTTGAAGCATGCATTTATATTAGTTGCTATAGTAACACTATTATTGAAAACAATACTGGAACAGAATCTATAATCACTAGGCCAACAGTCATCAAAATGAGGTTTAAATTACATCCAAATGTGTACCTTTACTTTTCTTTGTCTAAACTTTATTTTTCCTTAAATAAGTTAAAAAGCTTACAAGCTGGGAAAAGCATGGTCTATATTCTAGCTAACAACCTAAATTAGTTTGAGCTTCAAAATGACTAGTTCAATTAATAAAATAAAATTAATGATAAACTACAAGTTTAAGTTAATTTATTTAGAAGTTTAAAGTATTTGGTAAGCTGACAAAAATTTCCGTTTAAGTAATTCTGAAATTCAACCTTGAAAATAAAATTTTTAAAAAACAATCAAGACTTTGCCTAGAGGTGGGGGCAAGGGTTTGCCATGTTTCAAAATATTTTGCTTGCCATCACTTTGAACTTGAGTTTCATAATATCTGGAAATAAAATGTCACTAGAATACTTAAGTGTCACAGGACCCACTCAAAAAGCTATGAAAAAATTCCTTTTATTACTTAAATAAGTCTAGATTCTTAATAAATAAACAATATTCCTGGTCAAAAAAGTTTCTATTTTCAAATTTAAAGCCTCTTTCTTCCCAAACTACACAAGAAAAAAATGCAACATATTTGATGAGTAACTAGAG